GGGAGCCGTCAAAGATTCCGGTCCCCGGAGGGACCATTCATCCCTTGACCAGATACGTAATGAATTACGCAAGTTTGATCTCAGATTACAAGCAGAGTTTGGAAGAATTGATTGTTTCAAAGCCCTCAGCCGGATCAAGATATTCAACCGATCCCAACACGCCAGATATGGATTTCACAGAGCTGGAAGGGCAGACTCCATTGGACCACCATTTGATCTGGATCATTGTGATTTTGCAGTTCAATTTAGAAGGCAAGTCTAAGCACTATAAAGACACCTCCTTGGCACATTTGTTCATGATGAACAATGTTCATTATATTGCTCAGAAGATTAAAGGCTCACCCGAATTGAGAGAGATGATTGGGGATGATTATCTGAGGAAGTTAACTGGGAAGTTCAGACATTCAGCCACAAATTACCAGAGATCAACCTGGGTAAGAGTTCTGCATTGTCTCAGAGATGAAGGGTTACATGTTAGTGGCAGCTTTTCATCTGGAGTGTCCAAGAGTGCTCTTAGAGAGAGATTTAAGAGCTTCAATGCCATTTTTGAAGAGGTTCACAGGACTCAATCCACATGGCTCATCCCTGATACTCAGCTTCGCGAGGAGCTCAGAATTTCCATATCAGAGAAGCTGATCCCAGCTTACAGATCGTTTCTTGGGCGGTTTAGGACTCATATTGAGAGTGGCAAACACCCCGAGAACTACATTAAGTACTCAGTCGAGGACCTGGAGACAGATGTCCTCGATTTCTTTGAAGGGTACCAGGCTTCTCAACACCTGAGAAGAAGATCCCAATGAAGTTAAGACTTAAGAGGGTTGATATACTGTCTACCAGTTAGAATCTTAGGACAATTCTTTGAATCTTTTTTCTTTTCTTTTGTGTAGTACTCGAGAGATGAGGCGTCTGGTCATCGTTCTGGCCTCCTCAAGTTTGCCAATTGTTGAGGGCATTGCCATTGTCATTGTTTGTTTGCTGCAAACCACAGAAATGATCAAGTTTCCAGAATAGGCAATTGCTCCTCCCCCTGCCTGCCTGAATGCTCATTCCCTGTAAGCACTGTGTTTGATTGTACTTCTTCCACATTTTTAGATTTTGTTTCCTTTTTGTTCATATGTGAATTGTTGTAATGGTTCACGTTTTGGAAAATTTTTAACACGATTCTCATTTCACATTACATCTCGGAATCTAGATAGGTTTGGTTGATTAATGCAGTGTGGTGTTGACATTATTGTGGACTTGACAATTTGCCAGTTTCTAAATTTCCAGATGCTCTATATGGTAAAAAAGTTAAAAGAGTACAGAAGAAACAACTGTCTCATTCATTATGCAATGACCCTAAATTCATCCCATTTGTTGTCTCCTTTATGGTCTGTGTTTCTATCAGTGAATTCAACATCTCTCATTCTCCATTTTCACATTTCCACCTGTTAGACCTAGGAGCTATTAATGGTCAGAAGTCTTGTGTCGAGTAAAGTTTGAGTTGTACCATTGACTGTCTGCCTTCCTTGTCAAGCATATAATATATACACATAAATGTGCATTCCAATCATCAGCTTAACCTTTTAGTTGAGATGGAACACGTGTTTCTTGGAGTCCGTCAATATATAACCATAAATGTGCGGACCAACTATCAGTTTAGACTTTTAGTTGAGATGGAGCACGCTCCAGTTTTCCTTAGCTATTGGCTGGTTGACTGCTACAGAATGAGGTTAGACCACATTAACTGCCTTACAGGTTGGCATTATACAGACTTGCTAACTACAGCATTTTTGACTCCATCTACAGCTTGTTAAAACCATATGTCTGTCTGCCCTCACTAAGGTGTATGTGCTCCATCTCAACTAAAAGTCTAAACTGATAGTTAGATTGCACATTAATGGTTATATGCTCAACACGTCCCCTCACGTGACCCATGACCACCTTTGGCATAGCTCTGATGCCAAATTGAAGTATGTGCTCATCTCAACTAAAAGCCTAAGCTGATAGTTGTATTGTACATTAATGGTTATATACTCAAGAAGAAAGAGTGGATTTGTCTTGTTACGGGCACCAACATATGAGCACGTACTTTGGGGACAGGTTGTTGAGTTACATCCCGTGATTTTCCTGCATATCTATAGTGTAAAGGAGGATGGAGTATAGATTTTGATGCTCTCTGCAAAAATGTGAGATGATTTCATGCATGGGTGAAGTGAGTTTTAATTTGTTTGGTAGTGTTGTTGTTTAAGGATACAGGGACAATGTGGTTGCAGGTGAAACAAAATTGAATGAAAAGAAAGGTGGTGATTAGATTGCATTGTTCCCAGGTGTTTGGTAGAAAGCTAAGGCTGCTTTTCAGGGTTGATCAGTTCTTGCCTTCTTGGGACTTTTTGTTTGGTATGCTTAGCTTTTTGTCAAGGCTGCAAAACTACAAAAAGTGGGAAGATTCTGGGGAAGTTGTGTAATTAATGAATTCCCTTTTATTTCAGAAAAAGTTGTGATCTTGGAAGGGAAATGGAAGATTAAAAAATGATGATAGCGATGTTCCCTCCGCCATCAAATGGCACCACTCTCGCACTATCGTTCCTGCTCCACCATTTGCGGAAATTCAAGGCTCCGTTCAATAATTACAGATTTTCAATTTTCCTTCTCTACAAAAAAAAAAAAAAAAAAAAAAAGAGGGTAATTCTATTTGCACCACCCAATTTGCTATTTACACCACCTATTATTAAGTATAATAACTTGATAGGTAGTGCAAATAGAAAAATTCACCATCATTAAATGTGGTCAAATATTAATATTTATTATTCATTTTTTAATCATCAAAATATTAATTAAAAAAAGGGAAAATGACACTTTTTCCCCCTGAATTATATACCTATAGCATTTTTTCCCCCTAAATTATTGAAGTGGCTGTTTTTCCCCCTTAAATGTTAAATGGATATATTTACCCTTAAACTAAATATTTATTTTTTTTTTCTCCAACAAATTATGATCATAATTTGGTTCAAACTAAACAAACACTATAGCAACCAAACAGAAATATTCCAATTACAATTTATAATCGAAATTCGATATTTAGAGTTTATTAAAATCGTGAACCGGAACGGACGGTTAATGTTCCGAACTGAAAAAATAAAATACATTTATTGTTGAATTTAGACTATTTTAAAATAAAAAAATAAAATTTTAAAATAAAGACGGTTCAAAATCGCGAATCAGATCCGGAACCGCCGTTTCACGGTTCAAGATTCAATTTTTTTGATAGATAATTTTAATAAATTGACATTTAAATATTGGGTTCTAGATCTGAATTATAACCGTAAACTATTAATTCGATTGCTTTAGTATCCGGTTCAATTCAAATCGAACCGTGGTCATCCCTACGTATACGCAATAATTTGTTGGAGTAGTAAAATAAATAAAATGTTTACTTTAAGGGTATAAATGTCAATTTAATATATCAGGGGGGAAAAAACACCACTTTTAGAATAATTGAGGGGGCTAATGTGCTTACCTAAATAATTGAGGGGGAAAAAGTGCTATAAGTATATAATTCAGGGATAAAAAATGCCATTTTCCCTTAAAAAAAAAAAGATGAACCCCCTGAGAAGGTGACACACTGGGCTGCCTTCTCACCGGAGAAGACAACCCAAATTTTTTTTTTAAATAAAAATAAAAAGTTTTCCGTCACCTTTTCTGGTGAGAGGGCGAGGGGCTGCCTTCTCACTGGAGAAAGCAACCCAGGTAGAAATATTGACTGGAATTGTATCCCATACAAATATTGACTTGAATAAAAAGTTACCTAGTATAACTGTATAAGATGAGCTTTTTAACTTTTAAGCACTTGGACCATGCAAATAAGAACATATTAGTCACTGAAAGCGGGCTGAACTAAGCCCAGGCCAATGTGGAATCTCACAGCCCAAAACTATGAACCAACGGACCAATGAAGTCAATCATATGTTAACTGGGCCAGCTTCTATGCCTCTCGGAACTAATCGGGTGGATCTGGACCGTTAAATGGACAGAGAAAGACTCAGATCACATTGTGGTTTAAATTTTTTTTTTTTTTTTTAAAAAACATGACAGATGACTCAACGAATCATCAATTTTTTTTTTTTTTTGTTTAAAAAATTATTAATGATATATGTTTTGCTTGCTGGCCGGTTTATGTTTTGACGTTTTGTTAGCTGATTTTTTTTTTTTTTTTTTTTTTTTGATAGACCATAAATGTCACACTATTTTCACACAGTTTTTTTTTTTTTTTTGGATAATTAGGACAGGGAGATCCAAATAGAAACAAACTAATTCCATGAATTAGCAACCATCTTAGCGTGATACAATGGGGAAGTGGAACTGGATTTGGAAACAATTGAATTCCTTACATACTAAGGTCTTTTATGTAACCTAGGGCAAATAGGTAACTATGACATGTGGGTGTTGAAACATCCACAAGAAAATATGATGAATATTCTCTGATTAAATGCTTTATGCAATTTGACGTGAAAGGATTATAACGCAGTCGCCTCTCATCGTGAGGTCTTTTATTTGTTCAAAAAAAATAATAAATTATTACCCTAAGAATACTTAGTCTATCATTATCATATTCTAAAGTCCTTCCAACAATTGCAAGGAAGTTGGAAATCACATACAAGTCCCTCATATGTTAAACCGAAATACTAACAAGAAAACCTGAAACTCTCTTTTGTTTTCTTATGCATCAATCTATTCTCCCGTTTGACAAGCCATCACATTCCTGATTAAGTTTCATTGCCCTAAGCTCACGAATTTTTCTCCTCTTCATGTTCTAAGATCTGTTGCCCCATTAACAATATTAGAATAATACTATTTTTCTTACCTAAAATTCATTTTTGACGTAACAATAAAATCCATTTCATTCATTATATTGGATGAAAGTTAATAGCTCAACAATATTAACTCTTAATAATGCAAAACTATTGTACCAAAATTCTAATTTAAAAAATATGGTATTTCAATATTCCACAACATGCAGCTTTATACAACTTGTAGAATTCTATTTTCTTGTTGAGTTCTAATTTAGTAATTATAAAAGAAGAAGAAGAAGGATTCCAAAACCCAACACAATATAAATCACGTAATTCCACCCCCCCTGCAAATATCACTCTCTGCATAACATGAGTTGCATCCATCCATCAGAAGATGCAGCCATGAAAAAATGGAGAAATATATATCCCCTTTAATTCCTTCAATCTTCTCTTCTTATTTCCTTACTCTTCAGAAATTGGGAATGCACAAGAACCATACAGACACAGCTATCTAAATCTCTAGAACAATATCTGCAAAAACCACATAACAAAAAAAGGGTTCATGTTCGAGTCCTATCCCAATAAGTGCGTGTTAGACATAATTGTTGAACAGATACTATAAATAGATTAAACTTACATTCTGAATCAGTCTTGTCCCATCTCCCTGAATCACTAGTCCTCTCTCGTTTCTTCTCCTCTTCTTCTTCTGCTATTGCTGTTGCTGTTGCTGCTGATGTCCGTTTATTTTCCAGGAATCTCTTTAGTGACGCCGCCCGGGAGGGATTTTGTGGATAAATTTTTTTGGAGAGGATAGTCCTTAGAAGCTGCACATGTTTAAGGTACAGAAGAAATTAAAGATGGGTTCTGTCTTAATTAAAATTAAAAGTCTAAGCTGATAGTGAGACTGTACTGTTACCTTTTCCATTCTTGATTCTTGAAATGTGTCTCTTAAGCTGGGACTGGGGGCAAAACCGCTCCTGCAGACAAACATTTTCTTGACAAGAAAAGAAACAGATTTCTTCCCAATTGACTTGTGCTGCTTGTTCTTTTCACACACATCTTTGCATCTGCCAATGATGGCTCTGATGGTCCTGTCAATCTCATCCTCATCACAATCATATAGCGAATTCGCGGCCGACGTGTTTGAAAGCCTCCGATCAACTTCCAGGCTAGAAGGGCAGTTGAGGAACCTATCCAGTGGGAGATCAGCATTGGTTTGTGCTTCGCCTTTCGAGGCCGGTTTTCTTGAAAGGAGCTTAGTCAGAGCTTTCTGCAGCTTCCCAACTTCTTCAGGGGTGAACTCTGCTAAATCTGGAGATGAACATTGCTCTTCTTCTTCTCCTTCTTCAACAATTATCTCATTTTTCTCTGGTTTTCTTGCGCTTTCTGGTGGATCATTATTGCCCAGTGTTCCAATTGCCAGGAAACTGCCAGGCCAGTCGCTGAATTCTTCGTTTCTGGGCTCTTGTTTTCCGTGATCTACAAGAAACAGTTTTTAACTTTTTAGCAGAAGTTTCAAGATTCAGAATAACACGGCAAATTAATTAAAAAAAAAAAAAAAGAAACTGTTAATTAACACGCAGATTCATGCGATATGATCATCTGATTAAATTAAGAAAACCTCATGGCCAAGTTCGCGAATTCCCACGATTTTTCCTAAAAAGGAGATGAAAGGAAAACGCAAAAAGAAGAAACCCAACGTTTCTGGAACTCAATATGTGCCCTCCATTCCTTACACTTACAGACAGTACAAGAACATGAAGAACACACTCGACAACTAAGTACATTTCTTGTCAAATTTTGACAGAGAGTACTGATCGATCTTCAATTCCCAAAAAAAAAAAAAAAAAACAAAAAACAAAAAACAAAAAACCCACCCAAGAATTACTATCATTTTTGCATCAAAGATTTAAAGAAAAAGAAAAGAAAAGAGAGAGTTACTGGTGGTGGGAGGAGGAACTGGATATCCCTTTCTGCTTCCTGCTTGTCCCCCATTGAACCTGTTTTGCATCCAGTTAAAGAACTGCACCAAAACAGAAGCACCACTATTACATTACATACAGCATATACATACATATATACACACAAACATGCATGTAAAGCTTTCATTTGTCACTCACTCACCTTCATTCTATTCTGAAAGATGGAAGCAAAGGTAGAGTAATAGCAGAATGAAGCAGGTAGCTTAGCAGGAAGCTAGGTGGCTATGGTGGATGATAAAAGCAAGCTAGCTAGGTGGAGGAAATGGAAAGGAGATAGATGGTAGCTAACTAGAAGCCAAAGAGAGTTGAGCTTTATGGGAGTGTGATAAATATATAAAGTTGGGATTTGTTAGAAAACCATGGCCAACCTCATAACCAGCTAGCTACCTTTTCATTGGTTCAACTCCCTAAATTTCATACTCCTTCCTCATCTTTGTCTACAAAAGATGAAATCTTTAGCCCCAAGAGCCCCACATTTCGACTTGACAAAATCCTGAAACTGGATTCCCGGTCATTCTTCCCAAATTTTTATTTTTAAACTAGTATTATAGTAGCAATATATATATACACATGTAAAAAAAAAAAAATTCTTTTATTATTTTAAATATAAAGTTTAAGAATTTTACTTTGTATTGAATTATTGATCAGCATAAGTGTAACGTATATAATATCTAATTGTAATAATTACAATTAATATCAGTAGTGTCAATAGTACCTAATACAATCATATATAACATATTTAGTTGTATTCAGTATTATCTATCACACTTAATAATTTCATTAAAAAAAAATCAGCTTAACACTTTTTTGTTTGCCAAAAAGAGAAATATGAATGACATTTTTGTCATATGCTCTTGGACTTTTTTGCTTCTTCCCTCCAACAATTGATATGACCAAACATCCTATGCTCTTTAAAAAAATAAAAAAAAATAAAAAGAAGCATTATAGAATTTTGTGTGTATATATAGGGACGAGGTTATGAGAACATGACTCTTCTGTAAAAATTGTTGACAAATCTTACTTGCCCATATGTGTTTATCAACGATTGACAGTTAGAGAAAAAAATGTGGTTCAATTTTATAAATATTACAAAATTTCAACGTTGCAATAGTTATAAAACTAACCCCTCTATTTTTTTTCATTTTATTGTCAAGCAACCTTCAAATGTTGATTCACCAAGATAAATGGTCGAGATTAATCCACGAATTTTACTTGGAAATCTATTCTTATTGAAACATAACCCGAGATTAATCCACGAATTTTACTTGGAAATCTATTCTTATTGAAACATAACCATATATATATATATATGTTTGGATGCGCGCGTACGTGTATAAAATTTTCATTTCTATTTCCATAATTTGTATTTTATACGCGTTTTTCGCAAAGATTTCTGCCCAATATTTAAATTCAATTAGTAAATCATTTTTGAAATCGATAAAATGCATTTATAAAGTTGGTTTTGTTGTTGTTGTTGTTGTTGCAAGAAGTTTCATAAATATCCTCATAAGTTTTTTTGTTTTTTTTTGGAAATTAATACAAGAAATACAAATTCATTGTGATGGATATTGATGGTTTTATTGGGACCGGGTCCACCATAAACCGGGTATAGGAACATAGGACGGGGGTAGGGCGCTAGGCCCAGAACAATGCGTACAAAAGTCCGAGGTACAGGCCCAGAATGGCAGCCCAATTACAAAGAACAAGGCCCACAAGATGGGGGCTATAGCGAACTATGCTACTGGTAGGAATCGAACCCAGGTGACTGGATTGGGAGTACAAGACCAAAACCACTAGACTGTAGTGCTTATCGTGTCTGAGTTGCCCCTTAGCCAAAGATCCAGGGCCCCTATTTATAGCAAGCCCCCCTCCTCTTCTGGCGTCCGCGTGTCCCACGTTGCTCCTCCCCCACTCCGCTTGTTTGTCGCCATGCATGTCACGTCGCCACTATCCCCGCGACTCCCGCATCCTCCACCATGCACGCCGCACTTACCTCCCCCCCTCAGCCGTACCTACCTACCCCCTCACGCCGTACCTACCCCCCTCATGTCGTACCTACCTCCCCCCTCACGCCGTACCTACCTCCCCCCCTCACGTCGTACCTACCTCCCGCACCTACTTCCTCCCGCCTTCCGGTCCATGTTCTTCACCCTGGCCCACCATGCGTGCTTGTCTTCCTAGCCCAACAAGACTTGGTCCAACCTCCTTCTTTCACCACCCCCACTTGGGTCAATACTTTCCCAATAAAATGGACCCCTAGGGTCCCATATCCCCATCACAAGTCCCCCACTTCTTTTAGGCATCTTGATGCCTAAAGGAAGTAGAATTCGGTACAACTACCTCCTTTCTTTCCAAACTCAACCTCTAGTTCCCAAGCTTTCATGATATCCCGATCACAAGTCCCCCACTTCTTTTAGGTATCTTGATGCCTAAAAGAAGTAGAATTCGGTATCACCACCTCCTTTCGTTCCCTTTCTCAACCTCTTGCCGCCACCTTCCATTATCACCATTGTTGTGCGTCACGCCATTACTCTGTACCTCTGCCACACACACCGCATGTTGCCCTGGCCTTCGCTTCATCACCTAGTGTCGAGAGGTCAAGGTGACTCCTCTATTGTCACTTCTTGGATGCTTCTTGCACTGTACATCTCTTTTGTTGCATTTATTTAGTATGCTTTGTCAATTTCTCCATGATGCACCTGCATGCTTCTTTTAAATATTCAATGGGTGTCTTTGCTCCTTCTCCATGCTACACCTGCATGCAACCTTTTTTTTTTTTTTTTTTTTTTAAGGATGAAGGTAACTGAAGATTGCAGGATGGGGTAGTGTGGGTTGCGATAACCCACACGCCCCCTCCGCCAACGCCATGCGGCTTGCTGGGGGCAAGTCCGCGCATGTGGGTTGCGATAACCCACACGCCCCATCCGCCAACGCCATGCGGCTTGCCGGGGGCAAGTCCGCGCATGTGGGTTGCGATAACCCACACGCCCCATTCGCCAAAAACCATGCGGCTTGCCGAGGGCAAGTCCGCGCATGTGGGTTGCGATAACCCACATGCCCTATCCGCCAAAACCATGCGGCTTGCCGGGGGCAAGTCCGTGCATGTGGGTTGCGATAACCCACACGCCCCATCCGCCAAAAACCATGCGGCTTACCGGGGGCAAGTCCGCGCATGTGGGTTGCGATAACCCACACGCCCCATCCGCCAAAACCATGCGGCTTGCCGGGGGCAAGTCCGCGCATGTGGGTTGCGATAACCCACATGCCCCATCCGCCAAAACCATGCGGCTTGCCGGGGGCAAGTCCGCGCATGTGGGTTGCGATAACCCACACGCCCCGTCCGCCAAAAACCATGCGGCTTACCGGGGGCAAGTACGCACATGTGGGTTGCGATAACCCACATGCCCCATCCGCCAAAACCATGCGGCTTGCCGGGGGCAAGTCCGCGCATGTGGGTTGCGATAACCCACACGCCCCATCCACCAAAAACCATGCGGCTTACCGGGGGCAAGTCCGCGTATGTGGGTTGCGATAACCCACATGCCCCATCCGCCAAAACCATGCGGCTTGCCGGGGGCAAGTCCGCGCATGTGGGTTGCGATAACCCACATGCCCCATCCGCCAAAACCATGCGGCTTGCCGGGGGCAAGTCCGCGCATGTGGGTTGCGATAACCCACATGCCCCATCCGCCATGGCCGTAGAGCCAGCATGCATAGCACGTAAGAGCACATTGGAGCACATAGTTGAGGTGGGCGTAGGCCAAGCATGCAGAGCACATAGGAGCACATGGTTGAAGTGGCCGTGGGCCAAGCATGCAGAGCACATAGTTGAGGTGGCCGCGGGCCAAGCATGCAGACACATATGAGCATATAGTTGAGGTGGCCGCGAGCCAAGCATGCAGAGCACATATGAGCATATAGTTGAGGAAAATAAACACAATCTTTACCTAACTAAGTGTTCAAGTGTACTCACCAGAGTAGCGTCTCGATATGCTAAGTGTGTTACCTTATAGGGTAGCTCCTCTTGCGAATCAACCATTTGGGCGTACCTCGGAACCTTGCTAGGATGGTAGAGACTACAAACACGGGCTAATCGTAGCGGTCCCCACAGACGGTGCCAATGATGGTTTTATTGGGACCGGGTCCACCATAAACCGGGTATAGGAACATAGGACGGGGGTAGGGCGCTAGGCCCAGAACAATGCGTACAAAAGTCCGAGGTACAGGCCCAGAATGGCAGCCCAATTACAAAGAACAAGGCCCACAAGATGGGGGCTATAGCGAACTATGCTACTGGTAGGAATCGAACCCAGGTGACTGGATTGAGAGTACAAGACCAAAACCACTAGACTGTAGTGCTTATCGTGTCTGAGTTGCCCCTTAGCCAAAGATCCAGGGCCCCTATTTATAGCAAGCCCCCCTCCTCTTCTGGCGTCCGCGTGTCCCACGTTGCTCCTCCCCCACTCCGCTTGTTTGTCGCCATGCATGTCACGTCGCCACTATCCCCGCGACTCCCGCATCCTCCACCATGCACGCCGCACTTACCTCCCCCCCTCAGCCGTACCTACCTACCCCCTCACGCCGTACCTACCCCCCTCATGTCGTACCTACCTCTCCCCTCACGCCGTACCTACCTCTCCCCCCTCACGTCGTACCTACCTCCCGCACCTACTTCCTCCCGCCTTCCGGTCCATGTTCTTCACCCTGGCCCACCATGCGTGCTTGTCTTCCTAGCCCAACAAGACTTGGTCCAACCTCCTTCTTTCACCACCCCCACTTGGGTCAATACTTTCCCAATAAAATGGACCCCTAGGGTCCCATATCCCCATCAGATATATACGACTATAATTTTAAGGAAGGGTACTCAACATTGTAATGCAACTATTTTCTCATTTGTTATTTATTCAACATTTAGCTTTAATTGTTTCCAATCTCACATAAAAGTATGTTGCTTATTGGTACCATAAGATTTTAAAATGTAAGTGGTAAATGTTGAATTATTAGATAGTCTAATTTATAGGGTTTGTTATTTGTTGAATTGATGAAAATCTAAAATTTGGTGATGTTAGTAGTTTTGATTGAAAAGATCCTTTTTTTTCCCTTGTAAAATGACCTATTTTCCGAAGAAAGCACATTGAGATGTAAACGCTTGCAAATGACTAAAATTTATTTAAATGTACTCTTCTTTCGCCAAGACCTTGTGGTCTAACGGCACCTGGGTTGCACTCCCATATAGAGTGGAGTGGATTCGAGGCTCAGTAAAGGCAACATCGACTCTTTGTG